CCCCAAAACCCCAAAACCCCAAAACCCCAAAACCCCAAGAATTTTATAAAATATTGAAAAAATGGAGCCATTAGAAGATCAGAAAAGTTTGGGAAAGAGTAGTAACATATCTTATTCACAAGTAAGTATTATATCCAAGATTTTAAGATTCTTCTTAAAATTATTAATCCAGTATAGTAATGCTCTTAATCCTTCTTCAATTTTAACCCTTATCTCTAGAATCAATTCCAAACATGTTATCCCTCTGTTCAACCTGATCAGCTACATTCTTGCCAAATTCCTGAACCTAAGCTGTGAGATATAAATCTGACAGGAATGAACCAGCCACTTATCTCTCAAGCTCAGCCTACAAGTCTAGCTCTTTCCCAACTTGGCTTTAATAATACAACATCTAAAACTCCAACTATGACCGCTGATCCTGCCTTCACACAATTTTCAGCAGAGAAAGATCCAGAAGAAACAAAACATATGCAGGCTAAAACGAAAGGTGAACGTAGACTGAGCAACCAAGAAGAAGTCTTAGAAAAAGAAATTTATGAAAAACTATGCATGAGCTTTAAAGTCAGCGAGTTCGGAAGAAATGGAAGATTTGAAATTTGGTTAGAGAGAAACTGAGATTTCCAATTTATTAGAAAGGTGGAAAACATTATACTTCCTAAATGAAGGAATGTTGTGATATATGATCTTACTAAGTCGAATCGAGCTGTGGCAAAGTTCTTATGCATGGGCATCCCGACAAGAGGAGTTCAAAAGCTTACATTGGGAGCAGATAGATTAATAAACATTCGTTACTATCTCAAGGAGATTATCAAAGCCAGCTATAGAATTGAAGAATGAATAGATCTTGGACATTTTAAAATTAATGGACTTCAGCTTCAGAAACTTCTCAGGGTTAACAGACACAAGAAGAAAGTGTGGTTTTATAACTGCAAATTCTCGCTCCCAAAAGTTCCTAATCTATCCAAATGCTTACAAGATACCACTATCCAAGAAATATGTCTATACAACTGAGAAGGAAAGGATAGAAGTAATTGGCTAAGCCGCCCTGAAGAATTAAGCAACCTCATATCCAGTCTTTCTCAGTCAGACATCAAACACTCTCTCCAAAGGGTCTGCTTCAGCTACGACTGCCAACTTCCTAAGCCCTTCATCACTACCTTATTCCAAGCCTCCCTCTCTAAAGTCCAGGTTCATGGTAGCTTCAAGTCAGGTATCTCCCACTTGGGTCAATAAATCCTTGTTCAGAGCACTCAATCTAATTTTCCCCTTTAGGGGTTTTGGGGTTTTGGGGTTTTGGGGTTTTGGGG